TGTTTTGCGTTTCCACAGATGCTTATCTCAGACAACGGTACAGCGTTCACTTCCGCAGAATTCTGTTTTCTGTGTATAAAACAGTATCCAGCATATCCGGTCGCCGCCATTCCACCCATAGTCCAACGGCCAAGTGGAACGTTTCGTTAACACTTTCAAGCGATCGTTGTTAAAGCTTAAAGGGGAGGGAGCTACTCCATATATCATCGAATCTTTCTTAGTGAGTTATAGGTCAACGCCAAATGTTAATACACCAAATGGAAACCCACTTCAGAAGCTTTAATGCACCGGAAGGTACGCTTACCCCTCGATGTCATTTGTCCAGCCTCAAGTCCGCTGATTGGTCGAAACCTCCGCATGGAGAACCATTTCAACCGTCATCACGGTGCCGTGAATCGCACGTTTCGCATTGGTCAATCTGTGTTGGCTAAGGATTATCGTGATGTCTATAAAAAGTGGACGCAAGGTTTGATTGTACGCTGCATAGGCCAGGTAACCTATGAAGTGGATGTACACTCCTCAATATGGCTCCGCCATGTCAAACAGTTGTGTTCGTCTCCCTGACATACAACGCCTCACAATCTTACTCTTGGCATCGACATTCTCCTGTATACTTTTGAGCTTCTGCAAAGGTCCGAAACCCGGGAACAAATCACTTCAACAGTTCATACAGTCGATTACACACAGAGAAGATGGACAGATCGAATCAGACGGCAGCGTGTGCATATGCAGCTGGGTCCTCGACAGCAATCATACGAACATCCACTCCCAAGAGGTGTTAGGAGGGATGCCTCCAAACGAATTTATTCTCTTTGTTGACAATTATGTTCATTAACTACAAATATATTTTCCTATATTTCAACTCCTCACTGATTTTATCCTGGACTGTGACGCTCTTTCCTTTCCACTGTACTACGTTTAATCTCTCCAGACTTTTCCACCCGGAGATACATCTTCCATCAGTGCCTGTTCCTCTTCTCACCTTCCGTGTGTTGACACTGTGGTTGATTGAAGGACACCAAGGACCTAACAAATAGCGTGTACGTTGATTTATTACTTAGTCCGTAGCGCCCTTCACTGAACATCGTCGCTTCCAGGGTCTTGATTTTTTGCAAGGAAAGCCGAACGTCACTAACGTTTTGCGCAAGTTGTTCCAACATCTGCTACATAATTTCACAGTGTTCCTCAAACGCTGCGAGTGGCTCGTCGCCCAGCTAGCATGTCACGCGGGCTAATTCCTCCAAGCCAATTCTTCCGGGTGGTGTTTGCAATCTAGACACTTTTCGTTAAGGAATTTATCCACTAGTAGGCGCTCTCCTGATTCTCCGTCTACTCCAGATAGGACAATATCCAACTAGCTCCGGATGTGAACAGCAAACGCGATGCAATCCGTACCTCCTATGTGCTCGGACCTCTTTGAACCGTCGTATTGCCTCCTAGCGGTTGGCCGGGCTATTCAATCCGGAGAGCAACGCCTTCGCGGCGACCCACTCCAACTTCACGGATCCTCTTCGTGCTGCTTCCAAGACTTTCTACACTCTGTCCTTCAGAAGACTCCGCAGAGCTTTGTGCTTCCCGTGATCTTTCTTCATTTCTAATACTCCCGTTGCATTCTCGAAGTCCCTCGGAAATGTCCACACATCCCCATTTTCATACGGTTCCGCCAATGGGTCTACATGATCTGCCTTGACAGGTCACGGCACCAGTGCATGAACCCATGGTTTGTTAATCCTCCTTATCAGGTGCGTTTGCTAGTGCCCCACCTTCACATACCGAAAATCGCTGTAGTTTCTTTCATATGGTGTTACTTTCTTCCGGTCAATTATTCTCTGAGATCACTGAGCGTCCTCCTTGAAACTGGACCTCGGATCGCTCTTGGAAATTGTTTGACCGTCTACGAGCTATAACTATTGATTCAATCAGTAGCAAAATCCACCACAACTTTTGCCAGCAACACATTCTGAGCTTGTTTAACGATCACGAAACTTGGTAGTGCCAGCGAGCTTCAGTGCTGGCGGTTTCAGCTCAATAGAAATTTTCACAGGCTGTGCTATATCGTTAGGACCACTGACCACAAATGTTGTGACATCAGTGAGGCTACTTGCCTGGTTCATGTGTCACCAATCACCGATTTGCATAGGCGCATGGACCGCTCTACTGAGCACTTCCAATCTTAGTTCGTTTGGTATCTTCCGGCCATCCAACATCTATGCTAAATTGCGCGTTGAATCGTTTCACAGGAACTACCCACAAAATATAGGTGCCTGCCTTGAGATTCGTCACTTGATGCGATTCAAGGCTGCTGGCTCTGACAGAATTCCTCCGGAGCTGTTCAAGTACGGTGGTGAGGCATTTGTCAACCAGTGAACGGCTCTGTTCTCCAGGATTCGATTACCGTGTCCATCTTCAAAGAGTGCAACAACCACAGAGGAATCAGTCTAATATCCGTTGCCTCAAAATTGCTTACATCCATTCTATTGCACAGACTAACACTGAGTGCTAACATCGTGTGATACACTTCCGTGAGGAACTGGCTTGCCTCGGTCGAGGGTGTGTGGACCACATGTTTACCCCCCGCCAACTTCTCGAACAACGTCACTTTTACCGTTACTTTACAATTTCCGCCTTTTTTGAACATTTGAGCTCCGTTCGACTCCGCCGATTGACCTACTTTATGGCGTTGTCTGCAAGGGAATATGGTGTCCGAGAACTAAACCGCCATTCTTCCAGTTAACACAACGTCTCTCTTCATCTTTTACCGTCATTAGCGGTGTGCGACATAGATGCTCCATGTCCCTGTTTCGTCTTTTAAACACTAGAAGATCTTCAGGGTTTTGTCCCAGCGCTTCTTCTGGGCAACCGCACGAGCGAGTTCGACTATGGTGATAATATCGCCTTGCTTGGTGGCAACTCAACAGATTATGCAGGTCATTCTAAACCGCTTCCTGATTGAGGCTACCAAGTCATCATCCTCATAAATACAGATTAGCTGATTGTGAGAAACACATCTCAGCTGATGTGCCGCAATACAGAAAAGAAAAGAGATTAAACATTACCGATGAAAAAAGTTAAAAACTAACCTAGTGCTAAAATCGCATTATGTATTGCACTGAGATCGTTGTTGAAGGTTGAAGGGGAGGGAGGGTAAAAGCGACTCACAGCGCAAACGCCATTGAGGTCGGCTCTTCACCATGTCAGTTAGTGTATCCAAATAAACGTGTTCATCGTTCTTAGGACCCCAGTCCGGTAGTCGGCAAGCACCAACCAACGCCAATTTCGAAGTGAGGGATTTCATTATTTTAGACGACGTCATCGCTTGACCTCCCCCTCTTCTTCCATCCCGACCCTGGGTGTGCAGATAACGCCCGATGCGGAACTCGGTATGCCTTCCTACGCAACACATGGTCCAGCCATTGGAGTCTGGTGCTGAGAGGTTCACTCGCTCTTCCTTCACCAACTACGCAAACGAACACGCTCATTTCTCACGTGATGTTCTCACCAGACATTATCTATGCTGCAAAGGTAACGATAGTCGAACGTGACTAGCCTCTTTACGTATGTCGACTTTATGGGCCAGTTTTCGCAGCCGTATATGAGTGTTGAACGGATGACTGTATCGCAAACTCTGCGCTTCAGAGCGAAAGGGATGTTACGCGGGCGTCACAATTGGCGGAGGTTGGCAAAAGCACCCCGAGCTTTCACTATACGGTTCATGACCACATCTTCAATCCCACGGGCGTTAAGCTAGCTGCCCAACTACTTAAATTTCTAAACCAATTCTAGCTGATCAAGTGTCAGTACAGGAGTGTGCCCTGCCAATCTTAGAGGTGGGCTTTAAGTTTCAACGATGCAAAGCATAGCCCAAAATGACTGACAGCCAGAGCTTATTTATCCAGTGCAGTTTGGCACGTTCGTGAGCTGCCACAGATGAGCGCAATATTATCGGCGTATTCCAACTCAGCAACTTGGTCAGTTTGGAACAGCTCCACACAATTTTATTCGTGTCCAGCTAACGTCGTTTCTATGATTTCGTCAGTGGCGAAGTTAAGGAGGAAAAGTGACAGCGGGCAACCTAGTTTCACACCGCTGGAGATATTTAAATACGGCAAAACTTTGTTTAAACCCTCACTATTCCCGAACTATGCACCCACAGCGATTTTATGACATTTACATATTTCTCGGGCACACCCTTCCTCATTAGATAGTTCCAAAGGGCACATCGATCAACTCAACCAATAGCGCATTTTATGTCGGGGAACATCGCTCCAGTGGGTCGCCAATAAACATGGCGGTGCCCCAACAATTGACGTAATGTGAAGATGTGGTCAGTGCAGCCTTGCTTTTGACGAAATCCGGCCTGCTCCTTGCGCATCTGCCTTTTACAGACGACAGAGGCAAGTAATTTAGAGTCATTTGAGATCAGACTGCTTCCTCTATGCATGCCGCATTCCTAACGGGGGTCTTCTTTCTAATTTGGGATTATAACTGAGCGATTCCATTCTGTTGGTATTGTCTCCTGCTCCCATAGATTCATTAGTAAGTTATGTAAATCATCCAAAAGGGCAGGGCTTTCGAATTTAAAGTGGGTTGGATTATATCCATCTGCTCCGGCGGCCTTGTTCAATTTCAGTCATCTGATTTCACGTTCGATTTCTGCGTATCGAGGCTCCCGGAGTAACTTTGAGTCTACAATCATATCGATCCATTTCAGTCGCTAGTGAATTTTTTTGTCCTAGCTCCCATAAGCAACGTTTTGGAGATTGTTAGCAGCGGTATCCGATGATAACTTATTGTTATTAAAAGTCATATCTGCTTGAGACCTGATATTAATGTACATACTGTGGCATTACTGACGCAAATGTGCGTCACTGCTCGATTTTTATCCATCTTTCCGTTAGCGATCTTTGCAGCTTGCATATTTTCATGTTTCTTTTGTAGACTTTGACCATGCGCGTTTTCCTAATTCGATGTACTTAAAACTATTGACGATCTTCTTCCAGCTTCTTGTCGATTCCTCAAAGAAACTAGTGTCTTGGAGGACGGTGCGGAAAGGTCGTGATTGAGTTCAGGATCGTTTCCCATAGAAAACGATACTTGTTACATGCGCATCTTTTGAGTTGTTCTTGATCTCACCAATTACGCTCGGGTTTCCTACCGTTTTTACTTAATCTGCAATGATCCAGTGTTCCAGGAAATGACACACTTGCGTTTCACCTGTTCGGCATTCCTGCGAAAACCGGCGTGCAGAATGATGGGTGCGTTGTGCATGCTTTCATTGGTTTTGGTCGCTCGATTTTCTCTAGCTTTTCTTAATAAGTTATGTTGTTCACACTATAAATCTAATGCCTAATTTCCATTGATCGGTAGTTTGCATTTTACCCTACACCGTACCTTTGATCATTGGGCCTTCTGACTAAGGAATTTGTGTTGAAATCGAGCCACATCATTTAACAGAGGTCTGTTCTCGTGACTCAACTTGCTTCTGGCCACCCACGCATGTGGGATGCGTCAACGGCGATTGCTTCGCTACGGTTATTATGAACACAAACGGCTTTGTCAGCACCCATTTCACTCTCTGCCTTATCGGGAATGGGAGCTGCCACTGTCACACCTTCTGAATAGCGGTGGATGGATTCGGCATGATCAATGACCGTATAAGCCACGCCAGCAAGCATAATGACGCCTTTGTAAGCATGTGTCGGGGGATCCCCACGAGCACAGATTAGTTGCTACCCGCGGGTGGCAGACAACGTAATAGTTAGGTGTTTGATCAGGTATCATCAGGCTCAATTATGTGCACATTAGTTCATTTTACTGGCTGATTAGTTCTGCCTGACTGTATATCTCCCTACTCTTCTGCCCGCTTGTTCATCGAGTTCAATTTAACCGCTGTCTGACAACCGGCATCTTGCACGATCACCTGAAGGACAGTCAACTCGAAGTACGAAGTATGCCAAATACCGTTCAACATTTGGCACTAGGATCACTCGTATTTGGCATATTATGCACGGTGATCTGTGTGACTGACTGGGTAGATTTAACTGGAATGCAGAGTTATACACATTGTCTATTTTTTGTCCACTTAGTTCATTCGTTCCACTTGCTCTTTTGTCTCATCTCATAGATAGGTCACTTATACTGGTCTCTATCTATTCATATGGGCGCAATTTTAGCGCTTCACATTACCACAACAAAGAATCAGTGAGGAAGTAAACACTGACAGCAGTGGAACGAAATGGTGCATCCTAACTAAGGCTCAAGGTCAAGCACTCCTTATGGTCCTACCTGTAAGCGTGACAGATAAGGCAGGATGGAGTTACGATACGAAGCGGTGCAAAAATCTAAATTTCAACCACATAGAAGTAGCTATAGTACTAGCTACGACTCTATAGTCATTTAGAATTCTGGATACAAGGTGGTTGATGTATGCAACGAAATGTTTTTAACGGTCAAGTGAACGTGTGATCCTTTCCTTAATCCAGCCGGCCCATAGCCTAATGGTAACAAGGTTGCTTTGTAATCTGACTGCGCGGGTTCGAGCCTTCGTAGGGACAGGTCGACCCTCTCAGTATCCTCAGCCCACATGCGCCTGGTGGCGGTTTGCCCGGAAGTGTACGTCGGTACTGCGTATCGGCATACTGTTGATGCCTTTTCTTAATCCAGAGCGTGAAATACATTTGAGCGGGCGGACAAGAAGAATATAGGCTTTCGAAAAAGTCCAGGGGAAATAACTGAGAAACAGCATAACGAGTGAGGGAGAATACATGCAGTTACCGAAAACACATGGAACGGAAGGCGTTCTGAGCATGAGGGCGCAAAAACTGAGCATTCTGACTTTTTCAGAAGTTTCATTAATGTGTGTTGATCAAGAACGGGGTATGTTTTGATCACCCACAAGGGAACACAGTCTGTTGGGGCATGAGATAGAAAATGACACTTCACGTCACAGAACATGGAAAGATTGAGAGAGAAGGACCGGGAGCTCTACCAAGTCACTGGTTCATCTAACCCTCGTCGAATTTTCAAAGAGTCTTCGGTGATTCGTTCTATACAATCCAAAATGACGCCATCAGTAAGTGTACAGCCTATGCCGTTCGATTGAATGGGGAGGCTGGAAAGGGAGATAGGATGACTCCCTGTAAACCACCCCATTTGGTGCAGAATACTTTCTGTGTGAAGTGGGTGCGATTTGTTGGGTGATCGCGCATCAAACTGTACACATTTGGAGGACGCTATTTTCTGACAAAATGTTGTACAGTACTAATCTGTCGAGGCTCCTAAAGGCGTCGGTTTAATGGAGGAATGGGAGTCGTATGCTCTTGCATCTTTTATTCCACACGAACGCAATCGAATGCACCAGATACGAAACGGCATTCAATGTCATGGTTTATAGACAAAGTGTTTAACATTATCAGAATCAGTGGTTTTTCCGGTACCTTAAACGGCATGGACATGCACGCAATAGACCAACACTTCCGAGATCCTTTCTTAAGCACTAGTGTTATTCTGGCTGATTTTCAGATGTCAACGGTAGTACAACTCGTTAAGCACCGATTCAAGATGTCTGTCAAAGGTGCCTTTGGGACGTCCGCGCACTCTTACAAAGCGATTACTGATAGAGTATCCGGACCACTAGCTTTTTTTGGTTCCTGTCTCTTGCGCTCATTGTATACACTCGTGAGGTCACATAAACTGGGAGGTCCTGTGGTGGGGATGGAACGTAGGGGGAGTGTGTTAGGTGATGAGCTGAGCTCAATGTTAACTTTCTCTACATTCTCGGTGCTGGGGGTTATGCAAGTATGTATTCCAAAGGGCTCTCTTAGGAGTCTCCACAAATCACTGCAATAGTGGTTGCCCAAAACGATTTGAACTTACAGACTGTTTAATCCCCTTACCTCAGCTTTTATGACCACAGACAGACGTTTATCATGAGCAGTTGCTTGTGCAACGGAAATGAAAGTCTGTCCTTTCGCAATTATATTGTCTCATTGGAGCACCATAGATCAAATATAGTCTGGGGGATGCTGGAATCCAACTGACAAGTTTTCATACGTGAAAACTGAAAAATCGGTTGGTCAAATTGTTCCGATGTTATCCGTTGAGCAGTTCCGTCTTTTGACAATTCTGCGCCATCTTTTTGTCAGCGCGACATTGTTGCTGTTAGAGATAGTTCATCATGGTCGACTCTCAGTCAGCAGTCTTTAGCTAGTCTGTAAAATCACTAGACACCGGTGTATGGAACTTATCTTTACGATGCAGTGCTCGGGATTACCAAGGAGAGCATGCTTTTGTGTGAAAAATTGGTTATGCTTACCAGTAAAAACGTACTCTAGATGCGCAACCAGTTTGGTGGCGAATTCCATCAGTGACTAGGTTTACCATCTTAATGAAAGCTGTATCACTTCTATTGAGGTCGCCGGTGAGAACATAGATGGAACACTTGATATCTGGCCGAAACTCCAAACCAAAATGATCTACAAACATTCTCAGCTGGAACAGCGTTGTCACGTGCTACACACATAGTCCCAACAACGTCAGCTAAGGAACTCCTCTTAGAAACCTCGGTTTGCGTCCTATTAAGTTGCAGCTCATTGTTATTGAGTACTCCGAGTTAAAAAAAACCGATTTCCACCAGTCTTTGCAAATTCAGGTAATGACACCACGGTACTGAGGCTGTCCTGTGTGGTCGGATTTAATGTGGCGGTATCCACTGGATTTAACGACTTCGTCATCAGTGTCAGGATACAACTAATTTTCCTGTGCCATCACTGTACTCGCATTCATAAAATATCTTCGCTGCACAATGTTCTCGAGATCAGCAATTTTCCTTGAGAACTGATTGTATACTGCTGGACAGGATCAGCGGAATTTATGCCTTGTTTAGAGAACAGCGTTCGAGTCCAACTTACCAGCCAGCGCGGTATTTTTCCGAATTTTTCTCCTTTATTCTCTTGAAAGTATTTCTAATTCTGTGGACGTACTCAACCAGAGGCGATTTTTGCACAATCTCTCGAAAATAAATCATCAGCAGGGTACGACAATATTGGTGATTATGGAATTGGTTCATTTACGCAAACGGTACAATGATTTATATAAACACGAAAAATCCGTAGTGTGTGGTGTAGATTAATATTATGATAACTACGGCAACAGACGAATCTGAAACCGCTAGCTGTCGTTTTCCATTCACTGGTTAGCTCGATCGTCGGGAGGTTCCATCGCTTCGTCACTTATACTGTGCTGTGAGCATAGTTGCACGGTCGCAGGTCCTGATCAGGCCTATCATATTGCCATGCGTTTTCGTTTGTCTTCGAGTTCTTAGGGTTTCTTCTCAAGGGAAATGTTTTGTCTGCTTGTACTCTAGTTGAATATTAAGAAGGCACCTGCTACCCCTACCTCGATTCCTTGTTTCAGGAGGGTGGATAATGGGACACACAGTCGAGGCGACCTTACCAGCTCCAGTGAGTGATTCCATCTTGGGACCTGGCGAGGTCTAGCCATGTAGGGCCATGACATCTTACATCGAACTAGCGGCTTTGGTCCATTCAAACATGTGCTACTGGAGCCTAATAAGTGGAGTGGGACCTCGCTCAGTTGTCTGCCTCTCAGCTGGTTTGAGTTGAGGCCACCATAACTACTGGTTCCTTTCACACTGTTGAGGTGTAATTTGCGTATTACTGCTACTATTAGTCTCGTCAGTTTCTCATGACCATTGCTCCGTAGTATTCGCGCAGTGCCTCAAATCGCATCAAGCTTACAGGATATACTCATGCCATCTGATTTCTTGGGTAAGTGATTGGCTGTATTATCAGTCTTGACTTACAGTGCAGGGACTCGGCTAGTTATTCTGAAGTATTTTTGCTCCACTCTGGTTACTGGTGTAATCACGTTTGCCAGTACTTTTCTGATTCAAAACCAATGGCATTTAGATACGAGTCTGGCGACATCGTCTAAAAAGTCATCCAAATGAAGTTTATAGCATAGAGTTTGTGTATCATAGTTGCTTATATGAATAAATAGGTATCTTTTTCGATGAGCGGCATACGTTCCTTTTGAGTTTCGTTATTATTTCATTTATAAACTTCATTCAATGTGAGAGGCTTATGCAATGTTTTGTTGCGTATTTAATAAGTAACATTATTTGTTACTTAATAATATCACATGTTGTTCGTACCCGATTCCATGAGCGCACTCGTGAATTGCTGAAGGTCGAAAAGTTTGACCACACTTGGTAAAAAAAAGAAAATTTTTACAT